GTGACGTTTAATCCATGCTAGGGTGAATCCCACGATGAGATCAGGAGGCTTGAATGATCATGAGTGTTTAACAGTTAGTGGTTTGCACAGAACAAGCTGCCGTCTATGACTTCTGCTCAATTTTTCCGTCGTGTACAGTGTGTCATCGAAAAAACTTCGGTTTTTCCTCGGACACCGTGGACGAGGTTACGTATCAAAATCTTGCGTTGCTGATTTAATAATTTGAGACTTGCGAGGAAATGAGCGATTACTCTTGCAAATACTTAACAAATCGGTTGGTCTCAGAAGTGTTTAGAAGGAGGCTGTTTTCAGAGATTTGAATTGATTAGGTTTGAGATTGATCAGAATTACGTTGATGGTTTGTTATTACAAGGTGATATTATTACAAGGTATTACAAGATTTATTACTAATACAAGGTATTGCAAGGTTATTTATAACTACAAGGTTATAGTAGTAGCGGACACTTGATGCAATGATTCCATTCGTCGATTGCTGTTCAGAATCTCATGGAAATTCTTACCAGTAATATTATCATTGGTGCTGGCTACTAAAAGTGGGTGGGCCAAAATGACGAGAAATTTATGAATGCATGTGCGTAGTCCGGATGGTTTTCGTTAGCTTGTAAGCACGACAAAGCTTGCACGTTCTAATCTAACATCACAACAAAAGATTAAATTAAATAATAAATTAGCATGGATTAAATTAAATAACAACAATATTAAATAATAAATTAAACAGACAAATGAGATTGATATTGGACCTTCCCGTGCGTCTGAAGCCAGTATGAATCTCTGTGCACAAATTATTCAGGCACGAAGATTTCATGTGACTTCCAGATGGCACGACAAGGCCACATGTTTCCTATCCGATTACTTTATTTTCGAAAATAGAATAAAGACAAATTTAGAGTGATATCATAAGGATAACATTTGATAAATGGTTAAAAATAGAAATATTTCTATTACACTACAAAATATAATGATGTGATCAATTTTAAAATAGCACAGCAACATTATGGTGAATCACAGATTATTATTTTGAAATCAATCGAATATTATGCACAACATACAATAACGTGAAATTAGAATAAACAATTAAATATTATAATAGAGAAATTGTTATAAATCAAACGAATATTATGCTTTATTAATTATTTCACATTACGTGAACCCATAAATAACACATATAATTAAGTGGATATTGGTACAACTCAATCATACTAATATCACAGTTATAACAGCTTTGCATGTCGCAACTGTGCTATTTAGTATCGTCACCCGAAAAGCCAGTAGACTCCCTTTGCATTCCCATCACATCTCATAAGTACACATTTCCTTACTTCAACTAAATTCAACAAACTTGATGACAAATTGAATAACTAACGGAATTTTCCAACCGTCAGATTAGTGTGGTGCGAGGACGGAAAGAAGTCGGGGACGGAAAAAATTGGGGACGAAATTTTGCATTCGGGGACGCCGAAAATGTCTACGGCTCGAAAAAAGTCAAAGACGGGAAATTTCAGAGAAAATATTCAATCTCGTCACCGTCCCCGAAAATGGAACTTTGGAACTTGAGTCAGCAGGACCTCGAAAAAATGATTTTTTGATAGAAAAGCATTGAAAT